GTGTGTGTGTGTGTGTGTGTGTGTGTGCGTGTGTGTGTGTGTGTGTCTGTAATCACTGAATTGTAAAATCACGTCTGAGCGCCTTATCATCTAGGGGGGGAAAAGTGTGTCTATTTTTTTTTCTTTGCCCTCATCCCACATTGTGATAATTCTGTTTGGGAGCGATGGCACTGTACCACGTCTCGAGATGGGCAGGGGAGAAGGTACCATTTAGATAAAACAAATTGCCAGCTGCCAAAAAGAAACAGCCACTGCTTAGATTAAACCTGGGGGACTGTGTGTTTTTCTCAAGCTTTTTTTTTTTTTTTTTTTAACAATTTGTGTTTGTGGCTGTGGTTATTTAAAGCTGGTACTCTTCACGTTGTTCAAGCAGGCCTTACGGGCAACCACTTTCCATATGAAGTCAAAGAGCGGTTTTCCTGGCCTATACCGAGAATGCCATGACAAGCCGTAGTAATTAAAATCAATAGTCAGGACTTTTTCAGGCTTCGGCAAGGTCACACAGCACCCCGTTGATTGGAAGAAGGTGAAAATGAGAGCAATTTCTAGAATAAGCTATTTCAGTCAATATGCCCCGTGGAGGAGCCTGATGTCTCCGTCAGCTTTTCGGTTTATTTTTTATTTATTTATTTTGACCTTACAACGTACCAGAATTCTTGAGACAAGAGGTATGAAATTAGACAGATGCATTTTGCTCCATGCTGATTATAAAACTGCTGAGTCATCTGCCTCCCTGTCAGGGGGTCTGGATTCAATTTTCGGCTCGGGCCTTTTTGTGTGGATTTGTATATTCTCACCTGCTTATGTGCAGTTTTGCTCGGTGTTCTGGTACCCATATTACATAAACCGCCTTTGTTGTTTATGTTATAGTGGGTATGGACACATTAATTGTCAACGCGCTGAAAACGTGAGATGCGTATATGTCACGTCACTCCCCCAGAAACAAATGTGAAGTTGAATGCTTCCGCAATCCCTCACTTCAAGCTGTAAATAGTTCTGGAGTTCCCCTTTCTTACATGTTCCATAACGTGCAGCTGTTTTTTGACTGTCTTAAGTCAATAATAGTGTGTTAAGAGTCAGGTGTTCTCCTGTATTGGCTATTGTCAAATGTTGCTCACTGCTGCAACCCAGAGGTGATTAACGGTCACTGCAGTAGGTGATGAAAGGCGTTTCGCCATATGAAATTCTTGCATCTCTTTATCAAAGTAAATCATTTTAAAAAATGAGTTTTGCACTCTTGCATGTTTGTCAGGGGCGTGGCTTCGTGGTCGCGAAGTAGCGTACTTTCAAGTCTTGCTAGCAAACTCCCTATGTAAAGTAATCCCTATCCTGTAATTCAAGACTTTAAATTTTGGTGTGAATGTGCGTGGTCGTTGGTTGAACCTGAACATGACAAGCTCTAGATGGATGGATGAATGATTTGTAAACTGAAATGACTCGTTTTGAACAGAACTGAAGATACTGAAGACAGGGACACAATTTTTATGCCAATCGTGGTACAAAGTATTTATTTGACTCGCCCACAGCACTAGCAACCCACGCTAAGCATTCGCATACACTATAGTTAAATCTTGAAAAATATAATTTACTCTTTACAAATCGTGACATAATTACATCTGGTAACATTTATGTTTTGTTTTGTTTTCTTGGGTGCCTTGCTGATTAAATTTGCCACCCACTGCACGTGTACATTGCAAAGATAGTCACATGCAAATCTATTCTCCTCTCAATGTACTTTCTCACCTCAATCCCTTTTTTTCTCTGAGTGAATAGTTCAGCTTTTGAGTTTGTTTATGCACGGTACTGTCAAATGTGACAAAGGGTACCAAAATAATTGATGCGCACTGTCCCATTGGGGTTCCAGGTGCAGGAATGGGCTATGCTACCTAAAGGGGGGTGCTTGAAACAATGCAGTTCTTTATTCTTAAACAGAGAACGGTCACGGCATTTGACAGTAGGAAGGGATTAGAAGAACAAGCAGGGCCATCCTGAACCGAAATCTAAAGGTGGCTTTTATCTGCCATCCATTTTGATACATTATGTGCTTGAACAAACACATCAAACTGTTTTTCCTCCCCTGCTTCCTTCCTCTGGGCTGAGTCAGACGGAGAAGTTCAGAGAGTTAGCGCTGAGCCGTCTGTCCTGTTTGTTGATTGTCAGGCCCCCGTTCCTATCACAAACCCGATACCATCTTCATCTCATCTCGCGCCAGAAATGCTCGCTCACTACAGACGGCCCTGCCATCCCACAGTCGCTACATACGCAGCTAACCCGCCATCCTTTCCCCCATATCAACCCCGGATCTGCCATCTCCCCACTCTCTTATCTTCTCCTTATCTCCTCATACCACCTTTCTTCCTGATCCAAACACCCCAAACCCATCAATCAGTCATCTTCGTCCTCCTTTATCCTCTTTTCTCCAAGCGTCTGCGAAACGTTTTGTGGCGGAACTGTTTTCCCCGTGCGAGGGGACTTTTTACCGTCAGAACCCTCCGAAAGTGACAGTGCTGCAGATATACGGAGGGAAGCGGTAAAAGTGACAAGGTGGGCATGGATGCGCAGGCAGTCACGTGTGTGCCTGCTGCACCCTTCACACTTTGTCTCGGCGGTGTGAGCGGGAAACACGGCGAGAGGGGAAGGGAACGTCAGACGGATGAAGGGTGTGAACAGAAACATGTCACGGAAGCAGAGGAGCTGTGTGCACTGCAGTGATACCAGCCCATACCCCATTGATTCTGTATGAGGCGCAAAGAGCAGTTGGCTGTATTTAGCTCAGGGCCTATAGGTGACACAGCGTGCATCTCACGGGCCAGGGAAGTCATCACGATGAAGGAAAATGCAATTCGGTTAAAACAAGATGCAGTCTCTTTCTTAAAGGGGGCGGCATGTTAGCCCGCTGGTTAGCACGTCTGACTCAAAAATGTGCAGAGATGCGAATGTTGTTCTTGTTTGTGCACTGTGATTGTCAGACAACCGATATAGGGTGTAGCCGCGATCCCGAGCTTTACCGGCAAACCCAAAGCCAATCGCACGCTGAGCAACAAATGCAACTGAACTGATTAGTCGGAGAAAAAATATACCGTATTTTCCGGACTATAAGTCGCTCCTGAGTATAAGTCGCACCATCCATAAAATGGATAATAAAGAACAAAAAAACATACATAAGTCGCATTTTGGGGGGAAATTTGTGATAAAATCCAACATCAAGAACATACATTTTGAAAGGCAATTTAAAATAAAAATAAAATAGAAAACACCACGCTGAATAAGTGTACGATATGCTAACGCTACATGACGCATAAACGACGAACTGAGAACATGCCTGGTATGTTCAAGTAACATATTAAGAGTTATTCAGATAACTATAGCAAAAAGAACATGATAACAAGTTCACCAAACCATTAATGTCATTCCAAATCACTAAATCCAATGAAATCTTCATCCTCTGTGTCACTCTAAAGCAACCCCACCAACTCCGGAGGTAGACGATGCAACGCTTCCTCTTCTACGTCGCTTACATCAGACTCATCGTGGTTTTATCAACACAAGTCTAGAGCGGCCTCTTGCGGTTTAATGTGGAAATAACATGTGAAATGATATAATAATGTGTGAATAATTTCACCCATAAATCGCTCCAGAGTATAAGACGCACCCCCAGCCAACCTACAAAAAAACTGTGACTTACAGTCCGGAAAATACGGTAGTTGGTGACTCGGACCCACACACCAGATGACTGAACCTTGCACGTCTACCAGCTTGCTGTGACAAAAAAGTGGTGTTGTTATTGGGAAACGATTTGAGGTGCCTCGTAATGTCCTGTATCATACTTTATGGAACCACGAAAAACATGGCGCAATTGCCAAGGCAGAAGCGGATCACCTTTGTCGCTATTGCTAGAGTCGAATAATATGAAGAGTTATGCACTGTATTGGTGCAGCTGGGTGGCAGTTGTCTAACCCAGACCAGAGGATTTCCATTGTGTTTCTCGTCAGCCCTTTCCGATCAAGCAATTCATAAAAGTCAAGTTAATCTTTTTCGGCATCAGTATTGGAACACATTCCGTCACACAAAGGAAAATGTGATCAACTGGTACACATCAAGCTCCGCCTTTGAATGTCATCGCGTGCAGATAAACTGAAGGCCCGCCATCGACTGCTGATAGCATTTATGATGTCCTTTTATTATTAATCTTTTTTTTATGAAAATCATGCTTGCAATCATGTTGCATGGTATATACTGTCGACGGAGAGTAAAATATGGATGTTTCCAAGTCATTTTAAATCACTGCTTTCAAGAGCTATCATGCCACCAAACACAACATTCAAACTCTTGAATGCATCTTTTACAATTCCAAACAGCGCCTTGCGTCATTCTTCGACCATTGATTGATTTGCCCATTTTTTTCCTTTGACTTTTGCAGGCAGAGGCTTCCAGCCAAAAACGTGTACTACTACCGCTGCCCGGACCACCGGCGCAATTATGTCATGTCCTTTGCCTTCTGCTTCGACCGAGAGGACGACGTGTACCAGTTTGCCTACTGCTACCCTTACACCTACTCCAGACTGCAGCACTACCTCGCCAGCCTGGAGCACAGGAACCTTCCTTACCTGCGGAGGGAGCAGCTGGGACTCAGTGTGGTGAGTTAAGCGGTGGGGGAATGAAGTGCTTGTGGTGTTTATCGCAGTGTCATGCACAGAGCTCTCACCTCTGCAGTCGCAGCTAGTGTATCATGCGCGTCGCCTCCAGTCTCGTCTGCTCTTATCAAATAATTGTAGGGGGAAAAAGTCATTAGAAATGCTTGAGAGATTACCACTTTTGCTTGTGTCCTGCAAACATTTGTCAAGGAAAGCTTGCCTTCACGGCGAGAACGATGAAAGTAGCCCCATTTGTAAGGTGCACCTGACCATAAAATTGACATAAGGCTCAGCAAATGTTGAAGTCGCAACATGGAAATGGTTAATGATGGTTTCAATAGTTCACGCCTATTTGCTAGACACCTGAAATATGTGATTGTGTTCACTGAAGGTGATTTTTAACATTCATACTGATCAGTGAGTTTGGGAGCTCAGAGATTACAGTTTCATTTTTTGCAATATACAGTTTTTCGCCTGAAAAATCTAGTAAGAACCTGGGTTTTAAATTAGCATCATTAGACAGGGTTCGGGATTCCCACAAGGTTTAGGATTGTAAATTAGGTTTTCAAATTCGGCTTTGTCTGGTCATAGTCAAAGATTTTGCGCTTAGACACACCTTTAGCTCTAAATACTGCATTTGAAATTGTGCTTTTTCAAGTAACCGCAAAAACATTTCCTGCATGTCCAGTGCCCAGCTAAGCGATTGAAAATTGATAGGTGGTTTCCCACTGATTAAAGAGCATATTGTATCATACAAAATCCGACAACATTTTTGCACGAAGTCTCTCTCGACGTCTATTTGTGCTTCGTGTTTAAAGCCACGTCATTTGTCTGAGTGAGACAGAGGGTGAGAGCGAAAGGACAGACACGCTTGGTTTGGCGCAGTATTAGTATTCATAGTCATAGAGAGCTTTTTATGGCCGTATTTTTCTCTTTATGTTCTCCGGGCCCTGGGTGGCAGACAGCCCGGCCCGGCCCCCTCATATCTCTTTCTGTCTGCTCTATCTCTCTCTCACCCCTCCACCAGCACCCCTCCCATCTTAACCCGGAATCCCCCCTCCCTCCCCACACCCCCATATCTCTTTCTCTCTCACTATCTCATGCACATATGCAACTCCAAACACTCACACAGGTCAGAGGGGAAGGGATAAGCTTTCTAGTCACATCAAACTGTAAAAAGACGCGTTGTGTTTTTTTATTTTTTATTTTTTATTTTATTTTTTTCAAAGGCTGACTCATTTGCGGGACACGTTCGCCTTCTAATGGCTGCACTTATCTTGCGAGGATGCAAATAAGCGCCAGGGCCATTTGTGCTGGCATTCTTCTTGGCGACTGAGTCATTTATTTCCTGTAATGTATTCCTATGAAGCAAATCTGTTCAGAAAGTGTTGTTTGCACTTGCTGCTCTCTGTCCGTTTCATGAGGCAGGTACTTTTATATTGTCAAACTGCAAAATGTCGTTTTGTAACATCCAGCGAGACAGACCAAAATGGCTTCGGCGAGGTTGTTAATTGAGAGATCGAGAAAATGTTTGGGATGAATCTAAAGGGCAAACCAGCAGCATTTGAATACAATTTTCAAGTCAGTCTCGCAATTATTGATTCTCCTTCACTTTGGCCTCATTTTTATCTTTCCAATTGAGACAACAAAGGCCATTCCGATAACAAGAGAACACAAGAGTTCAGTAAGTCTGGATGAATTTGGCCAATCTACGATGGATTTTCCTCACATGAACCGAGCAACAAAAAAAATGATGATTGATTGTAGCGTTGAAGCTTTATGACCCAGTAAATCCTGAGCGTTCCTACACAGGCATAAAATGGCGTCTTCGCCAACCTCGCAGTGAAATTCAGACTGCGATAGTCGGCATGAACATTGCCATGCCTTTTGAGACTTGGATGAAAACATTTGTTGTCTCTAAGGGACGTCTTCAGATTCAAACATCAGTCGTCACCTGCATCATTTTAGTGTTTGGGAAGTCACTGTCCACTTATATTTTTATTAAAATACATATTTGAATATACAATACATCTCGTCCCTGACAAACAGAAACCTCATATGTCCAAATATGGTCAATTCATTTTCAAATCGTTTTGAGAGCACTTCAGTCCATGCCGTCACCCAATACACTGCCGTGACTACAACTGTTGGGTGTTGAAACACTTACACCACACTTACATACACCAAACATAAAGATGAAGCATTGAAGCAGGTTCACATGCTCCCAGGGGGAAGTGTTCATCTCCCCCCCCCTGCACATTTCCTATTTCCCCCAGTCCCCATCTGTCTGAGCGTTCTCTTTTGTAGCTCCCCCTGACAATATCTGAATCACCCTTTTTCCTCCCCCAGAGGCACTGATGTTCAGAGACCTTTTCAAATACTAACAAAAAACCCACAAAAAGGATGCTCGCGTTTTATTCCAAGTATTTCCTTATCTAGAGACGGCCACCGAAGGCACCTTGTTTGGCCACCTTGCCAGTCGACTTTCTTTTTATTGTGCCCTGTAAAAAGTGGCTGCCTGAGAGAACGACGCAAGTAACACAAGTTGACCCCCCCACCCAAATGGGGGCAGGGCTGTTACGCTATTAGTCACCTCTGACACAGTGCAGACTCTACCTGTAGTCCAGATGGAAAGTGGGTGTAAATGAGAGGCCCGAGGGTGGGTTAAGTCCTCTCACACTCTTAAATTTGTGAGCTCTAATCCAACATGCATGGATGTCATATTCCCTCAACAGTTTTACTGTCACTGATGTTCGTGTCATCCACTCTCTTGACTGACCAGCTCCTACTTAGTGATAGTGTGACGATAAGTGTGAATGCTCTTCTGACTTGATCATTGTTCAAGTTTTAAAAGCAGATATAAAAATATTAAGTTCGCATGCGCAATGTGGTTTTTGCAAAGACCTGGGATGGCAATGGCTGATTTTGCCAGGGGAGAATTTTTATACTCATGTACAGAATTTTGAAATGCCAGAAACAAAAATTTGTCGCGGTATAACTTTTACTCAGCAATTCAATTTCTGAGCTTCTATATGATCTCAAGATTGATTTGGAGCCAGTAAAAAAAAAAAAGGAGTCATTTTATATCACCTTTAAGAAAAGCTCCACTCAATCCCGACGTGCTGTCCAAATTTCAATTTTGTATGGGTTCATACATTCAGTTGCTATGCAATTGGGAGGAATTGAATCAAAGATTGCCTTTTATGCGGTTGGTGGCTTCCTTAAAATTATTTGTGATGAATTCAATGATGTTTGTTTGCCTCTTCTACTTACACTTTCAATTCTCTCACTTCAAACTTCGGCTTGCACTTGCGTTCCTTTCACTTGTTCTATGTTGAGAGATATCGGAGATAAAATGAGAAATAAAGTTCAACCGAAGAAATAGTTTTATTTTTTTCTGCACACATCAAAATTCACGATATTTCTTGTCAAACATTAACAAGTAAATTGGGATGTAGGGTCGTCAAGGCCTCAGTTATCTGAGTCTTCAGATCATCCATGCTTATCAAACTCCAAAACACCACAAAACATTTTTTTTTTATCCATTTAAACGGTCTTACGTGAATGGCCGCTCAGGGTCAGTTTCAGCCGCAGTGACTTAACATCACTTAGACACTCGTGATTGAATTTAATTTCTAATCCCGTCTGCTATCGGTGTTTAGGTACCATGTCTGGGTGTGCGCTCAGTGGGAGTAGATTCTCAAGGAGAGACCTTTTTTTTTTTTTTTTTTTTTTCATTTTGTTTGATGGCTTCGGCGAGGTTGTTAATTGAGAGATCGAGAAAATGTTTGGGATGAATCTAAAGGGCAAACCAGCAGCATTTGAATACAATTTTCAAGTCAGTCTCGCAATTATTGATTCTCCTTCACTTTGGCCTCATTTTTATCTTTCCAATTGAGACAACAAAGGCCATTCCGATAACAAGAGAACACAAGAGTTCAGTAAGTCTGGATGAATTTGGCCAATCTACGATGGATTTTCCTCACATGAACCGAGCAACAAAAAAAATGATGATTGATTGTAGCGTTGAAGCTTTATGACCCAGTAAATCCTGAGCGTTCCTACACAGGCATAAAATGGCGTCTTCGCCAACCTCGCAGTGAAATTCAGACTGCGATAGTCGGCATGAACATTGCCATGCCTTTTGAGACTTGGATGAAAACATTTGTTGTCTCTAAGGGACGTCTTCAGATTCAAACATCAGTCGTCACCTGCATCATTTTAGTGTTTGGGAAGTCACTGTCCACTTATATTTTTATTAAAATACATGTTTGAATATACAATACATCTCGTCCCTGACAAACAGAAACCTCATATGTCCAAATATGGTCAATTCATTTTCAAATCGTTTTGAGAGCACTTCAGTCCATGCCGTCACCCAATACACTGCCGTGACTACAACTGTTGGGTGTTGAAACACTTACACCACACTTACATACACCAAACATAAAGATGAAGCATTGAAGCAGGTTCACATGCTCCCAGGGGGAAGTGTTCATTCCCCCCCCCACCCCCTGCACATTTCCTATTTCCCCCAGTCCCCATCTGTCTGAGCGTTCTCTTTTGTAGCTCCCCCTGACAATATCTGAATCACCCTTTTTCCTCCCCCAGAGGCACTGATGTTCAGAGACCTTTTCAAATACTAACAAAAAACCCACAAAAAGGATGCTCGCGTTTTATTCCAAGTATTTCCTTATCTAGAGACGGCCACCGAAGGCACCTTGTTTGGCCACCTTGCCAGTCGACTTTCTTTTTATTGTGCCCTGTAAAAAGTGGCTGCCTGAGAGAACGACGCAAGTAACACAAGTTGACCCCCCCACCCAAATGGGGGCAGGGCTGTTACGCTATTAGTCACCTCTGACACAGTGCAGACTCTACCTGTAGTCCAGATGGAAAGTGGGTGTAAATGAGAGGCCCGAGGGTGGGTTAAGTCCTCTCACACTCTTAAATTTGTGAGCTCTAATCCAACATGCATGGATGTCATATTCCCTCAACAGTTTTAC